CCGTTACTTCCATTCTCGCAGCGTACATGATCAATGAAATCTCATACAATTTTTTTCTCGTGAATGGTTCCCTCTTTTATGAACTCGGCTATTGATAACCAGAGGTGCAACTATACCCCTGAGTCTGGTCCGAAATAGCCGACCAAAATAGTACAAACCACCCATCGTTTGGGCGAAGTTAGTCGATCATAGTTATCTATAGTTGTTTCTCGAACTTACCCTACTGGTATACTTGTTGTACTGCGAATCGCACACCAGTGTCAGTGACTGTATGGTCTGAGAAAGAGCTCCACTAGTGTCGGCGTTTTACTTGTACAAGACCAGTTAAGTAGCTATTGGAGGGTATTGCTGGCAGCCTTAAGCTTGACGTCATAAATGTCGACCAATCAGAACAAGGCTACCGTTTAGGAACGTTTCCTGGCTACGACAAATAATCCACAGGCTAACTTACTATCTCACCTGAGCGAAATAAACTTAGATCATCTGCCATTGGACGGTGTACTATACTGTCTCTCCACGGCGAGTTATTACCTTGTTACTGTTATGAGCGCATCATTGTCTGTATTCTGAATCGTAAGTTCTTTCACTGTACATGAAGAGATATCAGTTGAAAAAATTGGTTGTGACTCTTTTACCCTGATTGTTTTTCTGCATTTGCGTATTTCTGTAGATGCTTTGGATTCGCCATCGCCGATTACGAAGACGATATACAAATCACATTTTCAGAACGTTTTGGGATCGGCCTAGCAACGACATAGCGACTGGCAGTAGCGAAAGTTTACAATTGCTTCATCCAATCGAGAGTAAATATTTTTTATCATTTACTCCAATTATGGTGAACAAAAGTATAATCCATGAGATAAGTATTTCGTTAAAACAACATACCGTGCGAGAGATAGGGCTGGAGATGGACTGAGGGAAGAGGAAAAAGTTGTCGAGCAAGATTGAGTAAGTCGTATCGAGATCCGCAGTGACCAAGCTCAACTTGAGGCAACTCATATGGATCATTCCCAGACCAACACCTTTTGATCTCTGGTCTTCAAATATGGATAAAAATTTCTGTGCTAGTAGACACCAATGAATTATAAATGCATGTCATTGCTTGGCGGAATCTGCACTGCCATGTGGTCAGGGCAGAGATCAACAAAATGAACGGTTTTAGCGAGTAACACACAACCCTCTCATTTTTTATTGAATATACCCCACAAATTTGATATCAAAATAATCAGAAGTACATATTCTTTTCACTGATGTGTGAAAATTTGACTTTGATAAGCAAGGGTCAGGATGACCTTGACACACATTTGTGATCTTCGACCCCATTTTAAAGATAAAGCATCATTTTGAAAATATTAAAGTTAGACCACAAGTTTTTGATATTATGATTCCTGCTCCAGTAGAATCAACTTAATCTTTCTGGGGACTTCAAAATAAAAAAAATGGCCATTTGTGCTGTAGTTGCTCGGTAAATGTAAGTTTTATACTTTAGGTCAAACATACATGGTACGTGCATCAGATTTGTGCTGTAAAAGTGAAATTTCTGAAATTACACACATGTATTAGTAACAGCAGATGGTATGTTCTATCAAATCCATTATTAAAATTACCCATGTTAAAACCAAAGTTTCTTTGTACTGGTATATTAATGGCAGACCATTATATTGCTGTACTTTAATTTCCTCGATGATTCTCTTAGACTTGATATTTGGGTCATTTAACGATAGACCTGGACACTGGCAGTGTGTATGGACTCCCACTCTGCGTTTTAACGCTCAGCACCCAGTGTAATCTGTGACCTTTGGTGCTACATGTATGGAGCACCTGTCAAACAATTCTACATCAGTAGTGCTAAGTTCTGCTGATAAGCGTTTCACTCAGATGTGTGATCACAGGACTGGATGTTGAGAAAATGTGCGAGAAAAGTATTACTGCCCTTAATGGGCGTTGCTGATGGGAATTTGCTCTTTTAGGAGTTGTGAACACTGTTCCACATCACCAGTGTCCACGCAATCAAAACATGTTTCTGGAATTTTAACTTTTGTCCACAAATAAAGGGGTAGACCGCTGCAGACTGGCTTTCGAAGCCACTGAGCACTTTACAGTTCTACCTAATCTATCACAGGGTCCTTTTCCATGGGATTTGGCAAAGAAATGCCACTTACCATCAGATGAAAAATCATCTTTGTGAAAGGTCAAGTTTGCAAAGTTTTTCAGATTCTTATACTGTATGGATATTGGACAGAGGATCCATCAGAGAAGTAGTACACTTTGTAAATTGGTACTTGCATTGCTCTGCAAGGTAACTATGCAATATTCACTGGAAAGAGTAGATGGTGCTGTCGTGAGTGAGGTGGTTCGAAATTTACTACAAAGGTGAAACAGGAAAGCCTGTCCCTGTACGATGCCCCTACTATAATGTTGCTTGTTCATGTGTCCGGTAAAAGCCCGGTAATGATTCTTGAACTTTCAATAACCTTACCAGTTTGCTATTCTGACTTCAGATGACTTAGAGAAATTTTGCCTGCTGGCCGGCAAAAAACTAATTTGGCTTTGGCCGGAAAAGTTTCTCTGATAACCCATTACAAAATTAATCAACACCAGCCCTCATGGTTTCCGATGTTGACCTGTCCGTTGATAACAACTGTTTTTTTAATTGCCTCTTTGGTTTGAATTTAGGCCCCTTGTCAGTCCATAATCAACCGCAGTGGGAGAGACTTGCGTCTGAACTTGGTTTTAGTTCAGACAGGATTACGCATTTTAAGAGGCTTTGTCCTGGTCAACCTGACAAACAAAGCTGGGAGATGCTGTCTGAGTGGAGAGGATGGGGATCATCCCCCAGGGCCCAGACTACAAACCTGTGTCATGCATCGACAGCCATTGGCAGAAAGGATCTAGCCTATGAATTACAAGGTACCGGTACATGTAGTGTGGTCGTACGTCGTAAATTAGAATTAAAGGTTCGAAATTTTACTACATTAACACAGCACTTCACATTATGCAGCCTTTGAATAAGAGATCAAAGTCATACGACTTTCTTGTCCAGAAACCAAAAATTGTAAAGACAACAATTGAAATCTTCAGCTAACTCAATAGTTCGAACACTGGAGCCTGGAGAGAAGTTATTCCTTTTCCGTCTTTCGTTATTTTTTCTACGAGAATGCATTGGATGTTGTACGGTATCTGCCTCTGATTTCTGGCATTGGCAGCCATGTTTCCCAAAGTTTCCAGACCGAATGACAAGAATATGCTGAAACGCAGCACTTTCCTTGAATTTCATGCAATCTTCCCGAATTTCCACGATAAACGCACGTGAATGATAAGAAGAACGGCCAGAAAATGACGACCAGTACCTTGTCCTTCATAAAATCTTCAATAATGCCAATCACGAAATTTGAATGATTAAACAGGTAAATTAATGACAAAAACGAATTCGCTTTCAAGATTCGGCGCCATTCCTGGAGTGAGATGAAAATGACAATGAATAGGACGAATAAGAACTTTTTTTCTTGAATTGCAATGCTCTGAAAGTGAAATCTGTGGGTGCAATTTCGAAATTGGAATCAACACTTTGGGTGAGTGACCCCTCTTTGGCGAAATTTAAATTTCCCGCAACTTCAGATGACAAAAGTGCGAAATAAACCAAGAAATTCAAGCCAAGAAGTAAGGAGAGTGTGTGTTATTGCACTTGCAATGTTAGAATCCTCGTGACCCTCGGATATGCACTTCGTTGCAGCGATGCAAGTTGAAATTTTGTTAAAATTATGAAAAATAGGATTATTTCAGTTTCATGGTCATATATTAGTTTTTACAGTTTATTTTGTTTTGTGTGTGTACGACAGGCATTTAACCCTAAAAACCAGGGCGGAATCCACCCTTCAACATGTTTTTTCCCTGATATCAAGTTCGGGAGGGGAGCAGAATGCCCCACCTGGCTGTGAGAGGGACTAAAAATACCGTGGTCTTTAGGGTTAAGCAACCGTACGTGACATCAAATAAAGACTATTTCAATTTCATCGCCAGGGTTGAATGATAGGAGTTTACACAAGACTTCCAAGGGCCTTGATGCAGCGTGGGAGGACCTGGCACTGGAACTTGGATTCGGCAAAGAGGAACTCGACAAATTCAAGAAAACAAAGTTAGAGTTGAAGGAGCAGGCTTTTGAAATGCTGACAAGATGGAGAGAGCT